GTCACATGATCTCACTCACACACACTCACACCTGACCTCTGCAGGTCACATGATCTCACTCACACACACTCACACCTGACCTCTGCAGGTCACATGATCTCACTCACACACACTCACACCTGACCTCTGCAGGTCACATGATCTCACTCACACACACTCACACCTGACCTCTGCAGGTCACATGATCTCACTCACACACACTCACACCTGACCTCTGCAGGTCACATGATCTCACTCACACACACTCACACCAGACCTCTGCAGGTCACATGATCACACTCACACACACTCACACCTGACCTCTGCAGGTCACATGATCTCACTCACACACACTCACACCTGACCTCTGCAGGTCACATGATCTCACTCACACACACTCACACCTGACCTCTGCAGGTCACATGATCACACTCACACACACTCACACCTGACCTCTGCAGGTCACATGATCACACTCACACACACTCACACCTGACCTCTGCAGGTCACATGATCTCACTCACACACACTCACACCTGACCTCTGCAGGTCACATGATCTCACTCACACACACTCACACCAGACCTCTGCAGGTCACATGATCACACTCACACACACTCACACCTGACCTCTGCAGGTCACATGATCTCACTCACACACACTCACACCTGACCTCTGCAGGTCACATGATCTCACTCACACACACTCACACCTGACCTCTGCAGGTCACATGATCTCACTCACACACACTCACACCTGACCTCTGCAGGTCACATGATCTCACTCACACACACTCACACCTGACCTCTGCAGGTCACATGATCACACTCACACACACTCACACCTGACCTCTGCAGGTCACATGATCACACTCACACACACTCACCCCCGACCTCTGCAGGTCACATGATCACACACTCACACACACTCACACCTGACCTCTGCAGGTCACATGATCACACTCACACACACTCACACCTGACCTCTGCAGGTCACATGATCTCACTCACACACACTCACACCTGACCTCTGCAGGTCACATGATCTCACTCACACACACTCACCCCCGACCTCTGCAGGTCACATGATCTCACTCACACACACTCACACCTGACCTCTGCAGGTCACATGATCACACTCACACACACTCACCCCCGACCTCTGCAGGTCACATGATCTCACTCACACACACTCACACCTGACCTCTGCAGGTCACATGATCTCACTCACACACACTCACACCTGACCTCTGCAGGTCACATGATCTCACTCACACACACTCACCCCTGACCTCTGCAGGTCACATGATCTCACTCACACACACTCACACCAGACCTCTGCAGGTCACATGATCACACACTCACACACACTCACACCTGACCTCTGCAGGTCACATGATCACACACTCACACACACTCACACCTGACCTCTGCAGGTCACATGATCTCACTCACACACACTCACACCAGAGGTGTGTTCGACATCGGCTGCGGCTGGATGTAACCGATCGGCGAGAGTAGCCGCGTGCAGGCGGGGAGGAGCTGCAAACGGAGACGTGAAGTCGGACACATTCTGGTTCCCGTAGTGACCGCTCACGTGGTGTTTGCATACTTTACCACAGCCGAAGTGAAATAAATGCAATATTTGCCAAATACACAGATATGTCAGACACATTTTCATTCAATACTTTAATGCTTCATACAGCATCTGTTTGAACAAGAATAAAGTTCAAAATAAGCCTATATCAATCTAGTGGAGTGAACGTTTTTTAATCAGTTTTATACTGATAAACATGACTATAACATCGCGACTACATGAAAAGACTGTTTACTGTTATACAAAACGGATTTGTGAGCTTTAGTAGAACAAGGTGTGAGAATAAACACGAAACGCACGTGATCGTTGTCATGCGGTGAATCCGGCGAATCGTGGAACAGCTGTGTCGTCATCAGAGCTCGTGCAGCTGCTCTTGAGAAACTGCGCTGGCTGAGTCCTCCGGCTACTCTCGAAACACTCTCGCGGTACTTCGATGGCATACGTCACAGTCATGTGGCGTCGGCGCTGCATCAAGTCGGACAAAATTTCTAACCGGCATGCACTGTTTCAAGTCAGCCGCCGATCGGTCTGCGCAGAGCTGCATGAAGTCGAACAAGCCTCAGACCTCTGCAGGTCACATGATCACACTCACACACACTCACACCTGACCTCTGCAGGTCACATGATCTCACTCACACACACTCACACCTGACCTCTGCAGGTCACATGATCTCACTCACACACACTCACCCCCGACCTCTGCAGGTCACATGATCTCACTCACACACACTCACACCTGACCTCTGCAGGTCACATGATCTCACTCACACACACTCACACCTGACCTCTGCAGGTCACATGATCTCACTCACACACACTCACACCTGACCTCTGCAGGTCACATGATCTCACTCACACACACTCACACCTGACCTCTGCAGGTCACATGATCTCACTCACACACACTCACACCTGACCTCTGCAGGTCACATGATCTCACTCACACACACTCACACCTGACCTCTGCAGGTCACATGATCACACTCACACACACTCACACCTGACCTCTGCAGGTCACATGATCTCACTCACACACACTCACACCTGACCTCTGCAGGTCACATGATCACACTCACACACACTCACACCTGACCTCTGCAGGTCACATGATCACACACTCACACACACTCACACCTGACCTCTGCAGGTCACATGATCACACTCACACACACTCACACCTGACCTCTGCAGGTCACATGATCTCACTCACACACACTCACACCTGACCTCTGCAGGTCACATGATCTCACTCACACACACTCACCCCCGACCTCTGCAGGTCACATGATCTCACTCACACACACTCACACCTGACCTCTGCAGGTCACATGATCTCACTCACACACACTCACACCTGACCTCTGCAGGTCACATGATCACACTCACACACACTCACACCTGACCTCTGCAGGTCACATGATCACACTCACACACACTCACACCTGACCTCTGCAGGTCACATGATCACACTCACACACACTCACCCCCGACCTCTGCAGGTCACATGATCACACTCACACACACTCACACCTGACCTCTGCAGGTCACATGATCACACCCACACACACTCACACCTGACCTCTGCAGGTCACATGATCACACACTCACACACACTCACACCTGACCTCTGCAGGTCACATGATCACACTCACACACACTCACACCTGACCTCTGCAGGTCACATGATCACACCCACACACACTCACACCTGACCTCTGCAGGTCACATGATCACACTCACACACACTCACACCTGACCTCTGCAGGTCACATGATCACACACTCACACACACTCACACCTGACCTCTGCAGGTCACATGATCACACTCACACACACTCACACCTGACCTCTGCAGGTCACATGATCACACCCACACACACTCACACCTGACCTCTGCAGGTCACATGATCACACCCACACACACTCACACCTGACCTCTGCAGGTCACATGATCACACACTCACACACACTCACACCTGACCTCTGCAGGTCACATGATCACACTCACACACACTCACACCTGACCTCTGCAGGTCACATGATCACACTCACACACACTCACACCTGACCTCTGCAGGTCACATGATCACACTCACACACACTCACACCTGACCTCTGCAGGTCACATGATCACACCCACACACACTCACACCTGACCTCTGCAGGTCACATGATCACACACTCACACACACTCACACCTGACCTCTGCAGGTCACATGATCACACTCACACACACTCACACCTGACCTCTGCAGGTCACATGATCACACTCACACACACTCACACCTGACCTCTGCAGGTCACATGATCACACTCACACACACTCACACCTGACCTCTGCAGGTCACATGATCACACTCACACACACTCACACCTGACCTCTGCAGGTCACATGATCAAACCCACACACACTCATACACTCACACACACACTCACACACATGACCACCTGTTGTTCCAAACCTGTATGAGTTTCCTCCTTCTGCTGAACGCAAAGGAAGATATTTTGAAGAATGTCCGTAACCGAATGGTTAACTACCGTAGTTAACATCAGTGTTTGGAATTACGCCGTTTAAAAGAACGGCGTTAGGTAACGACGTTATTTTTTCAGTAACGGGGTAATCTAACTAATTACTTTTTCCGTCGTTACAACGCCGTTAACGTTACTGGACGTTAAATGCGATGCGTTACTATGCGTTGATTCATGGGCGTCAGTTTGGTTTGAAATGTGACGGGACAGAGACGCATTCGGAAGGGCACTTTCAGAAGTGCTGGGTACAACGACGCAATATACGTAAATATACGGTTAGTAAAAAATATACTAATGTCATAGAACGGATACCTAATACAAATAAATAAAACATATCCAGTTAACTAGCAGAGCATTCATTTAGTTCGCTATTAAAGGGTTAGTTCACCCAAAAATGAAAACTCTGTCAGTAATTACTCTCCCTCATGTTGTTCAACCCCGTAAGACCTTCGTTCATCTTCGGGACATAAATGAAGATATTTTTGATGAAATCTGAGAGCTGGATCACTCCTCCATAGACTTCTATTGTAATTGAAACTTGCCGGCCCAGAAAAGTTATTAAAGACATTGTTAAAATAGTCAGAGTGACTACAGCGGCTCAACCTTAAGTTTATCAAGCGACGAGAATACTTTTTGTGCGCAAAAACAAACAAAAATAACAACTTTATTTCAACTATTCATTTCCTTCTCTGTGGGCCTCGAGTGAGTTCTCTAGTGTAACAGCGCAGCGCTTCTGTTGTTGTACGTCACACGCATCACACACACATGACCAGCGTCGGCCAATAGTGAGCCTGCGTGTGACGTACACAGAAGCGCTGCGCTGTTACACTAGTGAACTCACTCCAGGCCCACAGAGAAGGAAATGAATAGTTGAATAAAGTCGTTATTTTTGTTTG